GTTCAACCTGATGTTCGAGAAGAAGCTTCGAGCTTAATCTTTTTCGATTGTATGAAACCAAAAATATGCATACAGTGAATCAGTGAAAGCAAACAGGCAGTTTCAATTGCCGTTGCTGATCCTGTGCTACCATTTAAACTTCGGCAAATGATAATCTGAGTCTCAAGGCACTTTTCCCGTGTTATTATTGGCCGTCCCCATGGACTTCCCCGGGGTAACTAGTATCTGTTTCACCTTACTTTCTGGAGGCAGTAGCAAAACATACCATCTCAGCTGGGACTCCTCAATCTGGAAAAGCAGGAGCTGTGCACCCATGTTCACTCGCGTATCCAAACTTCAGACCATGTCGAGGCTGCACGTAACCCCTGCGATTCATCTTAGGAGGTCCTTTTCAACCGCTTATACCCCGGGATCACAGTTTTTAGTCGTGGTTAGTTACTCATAGCCACAGATGAGCATGGCATGAAAATCGACGTATTCTTCAGACTCAGTTCTCCCTCAAATCAAGTTAGTTTTAAGTTCTAATCGAATAACTAGTGTAACAAATGTTATCTTTTAGTCTGCAAAGGATACTCCTTGTGATGGGCTTCTCGTGCATTCCTTTTATGTTACTCTTTTCCATACAAGTAGCGTATCAGCATGTGCTTCTCTTAAGCTCCTTTGTTATTCGATGCTAATCATCTACGCGTGACACTTATGATTACTTGTCAGTAACTATTTTTTATTTGTCGTTATCAGCTATCGCCAAGGTATTCGGTAGGTTTACTCTGCATAAACAGTTTATTTAACGTAACGATGACGTTTCATCTTCATCGGACATCACACAATAATAGGGAAAAAACGTCTATGGACGTAAATATTTTATGGGAGGTAAACCCTTTGAAGACCTTGGCGATGCACAATTTTATGCCCACATAAAGAATTCAAGTATCATCTATTTCAGTTGTTATCGATATAAATTGGATTGCCGCACCCCAGTTGTTCACTGGAGTTTATTTCCGTACATTTATGTGTTTCACTGATAGCCTTCTGACAGTCTTAAGTCATAAATCAAAGCCCACAAATATAAGACACCGGTTTTAAATCTCAACGCTTTCACCACCAGTGTTTACGCCGACCGCGATTAGAATTGATTTTGTTGGTTTATTGATGACAGAATTCCCCGAGGTCATCGATTCAACCTAGAACCCAACCCAGCGTATCCTTTAATCAACGATAATTTTACAGAATACTGTAAATTAGTAAAAATTCTCCCAGAATTTCGAGTTTTTCAGTTTGTACAACAGCTCGCTATTTTTATATGTACATTATTGCCAAACGTGTTGCATAATAGTATGAGGGACAACCTGTTGTGTTGTGTTACCGTCTTTGCGACTGAGGCGAATATTACGTGAAAATAACTGCACATACACTCCGTTTCCCGGTTCTCTGGAAGTTCTTGCGAGAGCACCGATTTTCGGCATAACGTTGGTAATTTTATATGATAACCCGCTTCGATAAAGTCTAAACTGGTTTAGAATGAAGAAACCAGGAAGGAAGTCACGAGTCTTGTTAGTCAAAGAGATCGTCAGAAGCTGGCCTCCATGATGGTCGGTCGCCTTCACTTTGGAACAGCAGGTAAACTTTCTTGTATTATGCTTTCTTGTATTATGACGTGAGGCCCAATGCTTTTTTTATCACAGGTATCCGAGGCGAAATGGCGGCCGGTTTCAACCGTATCAATGACCTGGTGATCATCCAGACGACACAAGGTCTCCTACGCTATCTGAAACAGGTGCACAAAGATTTATCAACGTGTTCATATGTAGTCGGCTACGATGGACGCCATAACAGCGAAAGGTAATTTGACGTTATTCAAAGGATTAGAGGGTCAGGACGGTAATGAGCCGACGGAGTTCGCAGAAATCATACAACATATATTCTTCGCTTCTAAAACAAATTATCGCACACTGCATGTATTTTACCATCCAGAATGGTAACCCCGCCATGTCCGTATGGACTGAAAACGGATTCACGTTCAGTCCATGCAGATAATTCGTGGTTTTGTTGCATTTCCACCGTTGCCTTCACCTAGCAATGACATAAGGCTAAGTGTTTGGGATGCAGTGTCGAGACTGAGGTAAAGGAGTAGGTGCAACGGTAAATACGTAAAGCCGACTTATCACCGGTATCGGTTGAATTGCGGATCAGTTTCAGTATATAGCCATTGAACTAATCCATACCGATATGGACGAATAACCACTCTGACCCATAACATAGTCTTCTAACGTATTCGCATCGCTCAGCTAATGGGATGCTGAAGCTTCGGTTATGAATGCGTTTTCGGCAGATTGGTACTAAATTTTGGCTCTCCAAATACTTGGGATACAATATTTAGTCAGAGTCTGAAAGGGAATAAACATCGCTTAGAGAAAGACAGAATTGCAGAGCATTCTTCCAGGAATGCAACTAAGAAAAAAAACCAAAACGTTCGAAAGATCGTTTGGAGTCAAATCAGTCATTTCCATTGTCATTTTCGTTGTTAGTCGAAAGAATCCCCGCTGCCTTTAGATTCATGATTAACAGTCGTCTCCCCTATAATTATTAAAATTTAAATCCCTTGATATGCGGTTAAAAATGACGAAATAAATAAATTTTCTTTACCACCAGGTACCTTTTATATTATTAATTGTCTCATACGATTTAACGTAACATGAGGGTTCAATGGATTTTTCTCAGTGTGCACTTTTAGGTTTGCACTATACGTTGCCAACGTGCTACTCAACGGCGGTTTAAAGGTTTATTTGTTTGCTCAGGTCGTCGCTACTCCTTTAGTGGTACGAATGATGTTATATTTATCAAATTTGCGAAATTACTGGTGGCAAAAAATGAAATGTTTTGTTCGTTCGTAGTCTTGCTGAAACGTAGCATATACGTAGTTTATTTTAAAACAACACCAAGAATTTGACTATATATAGGTGACAAGTCTGCTGGAATCGATGAATTCCGCTGAGGTTCATAAAACTTTAAGCGAATTATGAATATTTTAGCTAACGCATGTCTGTCAGACTGCAGCGGCTACGAGATGATACCCGTGGTCTGTAGAACGGCGGTTGTTGTACTCCAGTTTCAAAAGGGAAACCATAGGGAATGCTTCAGTATTCAGGGCATTAGTTTAGTGAGCTCCTGGAAAAGCCTGTATAAAAGTGAGAGAAAGAAGTGCCGCGGAATAACTAAGATAAAAAACGCAGTATGGCTTTAGGTCAGGCTGAAAGACCTGCGCCCTACTCCGGATTGTTTCGTGGGAGTTATCTCATCTGGTTTACGTATGCTTTGTTGGTATGGAGAAATCGTATGATCGGATCAAGCACCTGCAAACATACTTGATCGATAGCCAGTTGCTATGAGCCATCCAATCACTGTGTTGACAGCAGGTACTGCGTCAGAGTAAACAGCGTTAGGTCGGTGCCTTTCAGCGTTGACACTTGCCTTGGCCAAGGCTGCATTCTGTCCCATCCCGTGTTTGCGTTGCCTGTGGATAGGATAGGTAGGCGCAGCCACGGCGACCAGTTGTATCAGGATAGGACGTGAGCAGCGAGTGCGACTTGATCAGCATGTGTTTGAACGTCTCTGCAACGAAAAGCCTAATACTTTGTCATTCTTTTATCGTTACCCTCTTCAGCTAAACGGAAGGGCAGACGGAAAAGTTCACGTATCTCCGGGCCATATTTAATAGTGACGAAAAATGGGAAGAAGAGATCG